AGGTGTAAAGTTTTGGAATTTTTTTCACGAAAATACATTGTCACGCACAACGAGTCTGTGTGCAAAATGTCAGCTCGATTGGATCACGGGAAGTGGGTTAAAACGACCGAAAGATTTGCACGGTCGTAAGCAAGCAAGTGAACTTAATACAAAGGATTTAAAAACAAAAACAGCCGCTCAGGAAGCCGTTTCACTCATAAGGGGCCGTCCATAAATGACGTCACGCGATTTTGGACGATTTTTGACCCCCCCTCCCCTTCGTCACACAGCGTCGCAAAAAGTCAGACCCCCCTCATATATATGACGTCACAAAGCTCTGCCCCCCCTCTCCCCCAAAACCATATTTCTATTTTTAAAATAAAACATGCTTCAAATCGCTTTAAACTATTGTTATTGTAGTGCGTATTTAATGTGGCGCTGCACTCTGATGTTATAGGAGTGTTGTTATAACAATTAGTGTTGTTATAACAATTCCATATTTATTTAAAGTTGCGCATTTTGATGTGACGTCACATTTCTCAACCCCCCCTCCCTCGTCACACATCGTCACAAATGTCTGACCCCCCCTCCCACTAGGTGCGTGACGTCATTTATGGACGGCCCCTAAATACAATCAATGGTTACATTTCACTTGAACGAGCAGATGCGTGCACAGCTACCTAAACACGTAATTGAAGCCAGTCGTTAATGCATGCCTCAGTATTTTCGTCTGTACATCACTAGATGTGCTTCAAGTGTACATACCATTCCGCATATCCCCAGACACTCACTCAAACAAAGGCAAACCAGTTCTGTCAAAGTTCCAGATTCAGCCCTCGGGGGTGTTATTATGTCCACGTCATTATTTTACGCCGGTCAAACAGACGACACGTCGCGGAAAGCATTCTCGAACTGACACGAGTGGCTGCAGGGCTGTGTCGGTTTATTTATTGCGGCGGGCAGATGACAACGGGGGTGCGTGTTGTACAAGATTAACTTGTCCAACGAAAAAGTAACGTTGAGACATTTTGGACGAGAAACACGGGAGAGGTCAAACTAGGAAAAACAATGGAACAAAAACGTGAAAAGTGCCAAAAGAAACAGGGACAGATGCGTGCCGTCAATGACAGCTGAGAGACGGGACAGAGAAACCACACGGGATGGATTTGAGAGCACACGCAAGGTAATGGCATCAAATAAACTGTTAGCTAAAGTCAGGCTTAAGCAGGACAACATTATGAAGATTCGAACAAAAATCGGAAGATTAAAAAATAATAATTTATTACAGTGACTGGTTGATTGTCATTGCCTTTTCACGACAACTACTTGACAGCTGGCCGAATTACAAGCACTAAAAGTATTTTTTTAAAATCACCATCCTGTACTCTTATTGGTCTACGTATTGAATTCATGGTTTCATCAGAATTCTCCTGTCGACTTAACCGTACGTTGTCCTCGTGTCTTGCGTGTGTTCGCCCATCACCCCACTTTTAAACAGAGAGCCCAAAAATCAGCACTCCGTATGAAGTGCTGCGCTAAAGGATCGCCTGCTTGTGCAGCGGCCGTGTTGGCATAGAGGCCGTCCATAAATGACGTCACGCGATTTTGGACGATTTTTGACCCTCCCCCCTTAGTCACAAAAAGTCAGACCCCCCCTCAAATATGACGTCACAGAGCTCTGCCCCCCCTCCCCCAAAACCATATTTCCATTTTGAAAATAAAACATGCTTCAAATCGCTTTAAACTGTAGTCATCAAGTCCAGTATCAACTTACATGTGAACCTTCACTCTATGCAAGGCCCTAATTATAATATATATTGTGACAAACCCCCCTCCCCGCCCCCAATAATCAATGTGCAAAAAATGCCCCCCCCCAAATATATTGCTATAAAATAGATTTCTGTTTATATGATTGTGGTTATGATTGTACGTTCTTAATCCCTAATCTCTGCCATTACATACAATGATACAAAAAAGGTAAAAAAAAAACAGAGCAACGTAATACAATACACTATTAGACATTATTGTAAAAAATAAATAAAAAGTCCATCCTGTGTTCGTGATTTTTTTTTAATATTGTAGGCAGGAAATGACAGGAAAATCTTTTCAAATTTAGATTTTTTTTCTGGGGGGTGGGACCCCCAGACTCCCTGGAAGATTTGGTCCCCCCCCAATGTTGACTCCGTGGCTGCGGCCTTGACTCGATGGATATATTTAATGGGCCCCGAATTGAGTAATTTTGACTCAGAGGCGTGACCATCTACGATGCACTTGCAATTACTTTTCTGGCATTTACATCTCGTGTAAGCATTACTTTACAAGTGTAATTGCGTGTTTTACCTGTGGTGGAGGTGGATACAAAGTCAAATTAAACACCCACGACAACTTGAAGTCACGCAAAGCCCCCTTTTGTAACCCATGCGCTTAATCTTCAATGATGCGAGTTAAATTTCGATTTAAAGCATTCGTGACTGCAGGAATTCATCTTCTTGAAAGAACCAAGAAGATGCGAGTTAAACCCCGATTAAGCTTGGAGAGCTGAATGGAGTTCAAAAGAAGTCGCAAGCAAAGATATTGTCGTGAAAGATGCAACGCAGAAGATCCCTGGGGGTTTGATCTTCCACGAAGCTCATGGCCGAACACAAACCATGGCAGTCGATACGGACACCTGATTGCAATGCAATTCACAACATGACCTGCAAGTATTAATACCAATTCCCTGTAATTAACTAGAAAAAAGTACTTGAATCAAGAGAATCCTGCATTTTATAGATTGAAATGCCATTTATTGAGAAGTGTTTTCTGTGTTTAGTTTATTGTCCCCCCCCCCGCACCTCCGATTAGCACGGTTGGCTATGTACGATGCGAAATAAATTCAACATACATAAACACATTTAACTAAAGCCCTTCCCCCTCCATTTCGGATTAGCACGGTTGGCTACGTACGGTGCGAAAGAAGTTCAACATCCAAACGTACATTGGGATGTTTGGCTAATTCAATTGATTGAATAAGAATATACAATATATTCATATTGGAGCAATTATATTAACTATATGAGTGGCACATGGGAGGAGACCGGAGTAGCGGGAGAAAGCCAAACACATGAAGAGGAAACTCTCAAAACTCCGCACAGATCGATTAGAAAATCCAATTGCTGTGCTACCATGACTTGGTCGACGAGCAGGCCAAGCTCACAAAACACCACGTGTTCCCATGCTGTCTCCCATTCGCGGTAAGCACTTTCCACAACACCACCCAGCCAGAGATAAAGACCAGCGCAGTTATATCATACTAGCTTCTTTGCTCGTCCTAAAACGGCAGCTGTAATATTTATGAAAAGATTTAGCAGAGTATAATTGTATCTCGTGTAAATTTAATGGCAGTGAAACTTGCACTAATCATGTTAACAAACACTTCACTGCATTTCACTGTAGCACTGCATATAACTGACCTTCAATTTATTCAAATTCACTGCTCTGATACTTCATTCTCTTCTGCTGTCGGTCGCTGGGGTTGAAATAAATTAGAATTCGATACAATACTGTATCTGGAAAATCACCGAGAAATGTCTATTTTTTCAAAATGTAGAAGCAGAAATTAGACTTGTCTTTTGTCCCATAGTGCTGAAGAAATAAATAAAGACACCAAATCCACTTTGTTGCTGCGTAGACTGATTTATTAAGACTCACTTTCAATAAAGAAACGTGAAACTTAAAGCGAATTTGCGAACAAAAATTCCGCTAGACCTTCTTCTGCACGAGTGTAAAAATCCACCCGCTCATGAATATTAATGACGGGAGGTGTGGTATGTGGAGTGACGTCACACGCGTTACACACACACACATTCGTGGCTCATTATAATAGTAATTGTCACCGATAGTGGGGGCCGAGAGTTCTGCCGTGACAAGTTAAAAATAATAATAAAATAAATTTCGATTTAAAGCTTTCGTGACTGCAGGGATTCATCTTCTTAGTTCTTTCGATAAAGTCACGTAGAAGGGAAGTAATGAAATAATAAAAAATAAAACATAATAAAATAATTCTCACGACGTTTCGGCCACAACGCAAGCAGCCGTCCTCAGGTGAAAATCTGGTTATTTTATTACTTCCCTTCTACGTGACTTTACCGAAAGAACCAAGAAAATAAAATAAATGTTCACTTATACGGCACCTTTCGCAAAAAGAGTCTCTGGACGCCACGAATATGAAGAAGAAAGGTAACGACGAAAGAACCGGGTGGCACAATAAGAACGGAAGAGGAACAAACTCACCCGGAAACACAGTTTTAAACGGACATGATTTTAGACCATGCGAGAGCCTGGTCTCCAAGGCATAGGGGAGTTCCACAGATCGGGGGGGGGGGGGCAACACAACTAATGCCTTCAACGTGACCCAGGGAAGTCAGCACCCTGCGGCGGTCTCTTTAAGGGCCTCTTCGTGACCCGTCATGTATCAAGGAAACCACCGTCTCTCGCATTCACCACGAAGTGCATTGCAGCTCTTGAAATATTGAGGGGTCTTTTTTGTACCGAATTCGAACAAAAATGTCTCTTTAACACGTAGGCTTTCGCGACCAATGTTATTCATAATCAACGTTTTTGGGTTTAGATCGCGTTATTTATAAATGTGTCGTAACCCTCCACCACCCGACACGGCCAATCAGTAAAAAAGTGTCACAATTGTAAATGTTGTGGCTTCAACACACCGGTGGGCTAAAGCAGTGAACTATTTGTCTTTTGTCAACGTGACACTTTTTTACTGATTGGCCGTGTCGGGTGGTGGAGGGTTACGACACATTTATAAATAACGCGATCTAAACCCAAAAACGTTGATTATGAAAAATGTCTCTTCTTGTTATTTTAGTTGCTGATCGCTGACCATGATCGATCAATTACTCGCTCCAGGCATGCCCAACATTATGACGCCCTCCCCCCCCTCCATATATTTGCTAAAACAAATATTTGCACGTGGAAACGTCTTTGATGTTGCACCAACTAATGAAGAAAACAAGAGAAGGCCCTTTGCGCAGAATCATGTTTTTAATGTCGCCGTCAAATCGTTAAACACGTGGATACCTTTTTTTGTCTCGTATAATTTTTTTATTTCCTGAAACACTTATACCTGCTTTGAATTCACGGATTGCACGAATTTTCGCGGAAAAGGTAACTCGTACATCCCCCCCCCCCTCCCCCGTTTGGACAAATGTGTCGGAATGAACGACACCGCAATCATGGGACAAGGGGCACGCACAAGGCTTGGCTTTGCCTCCCTTGCGTCCGTCGATGTCAACGTGAACAGGGGACATTTCTGAGCAAAAAAAATAATTTATAATGAACACACGATATTCAACACAATCCCCAGTGCAAGTAAAGATTTCAAACAAAACATTTTAAAATCATGACAACAAAATATGGGGTTCGTTGTGCATATTATGTGCGTACATTATACGTAAAAAAAACCTCCGAAAACGAAAGTAATCGTATAAATGCTCGTCCACATGTTAATATACTTTAATTCATTGGTGCAAAGTACACATATATAATTGTTTAACTTGTACACAAACTTATACTTCTTTTTTTAAATATATACCTGTATTTGATGAATTGCTTTGAAGGATTAATTTTTGCATAAAGCACACAGTGCGCTAGATTACAATCCTGCTTCACGAATCCGCGAGCAGTTTCGGATGACCACAAACAGGATACGACACGACACAGCGTAGATTAGTGGAATATGTCTATAGCTCAAAGCCCGGCGATGCTCTGTAACGATATTTTGGCAAAGCAAGTTTAGTTCACAGGGGGAACGGTTTTTTTTTGTTTTTATCTTTGTAACAAAACGACAGAGGGGCCGGACATTTGAACACGATACCGAAGATGCGCGAACGAGAAAATACATGCCAATATTTAAGGACGTTATGGAAATATGTGACTTGTGAAATGACAAAATAGTTGTGCGACAATGCACGCCAGAATGCGATTCCAACAAACACGACCGGCCATTTGCTCAGCCCCGAGTTTAACATTGGAGAAAGTGGATGTGATTTTTTTCCACACTTGAATTTGGATTGGCATGTAAACGTGACCGACAAATTAGCACAATTAAACATTGTCAAAGGTTTCGCTTCGTTTCGTGCTCCTTATTTTTTTTTTACCCTTTAAAATCAATCGTAAGTTGGTCAATCGAGTACGTGTCGCTCACGAAGATTAAAACCTTCCAAATGCATTTTGGTTGTTTCCCCACTGAAAAGGGGTTTTTGACTTCTTAAGAGGGGGCGCTGAATGATGTACACGGCCCCGCATTCCCCAAGTGCTACATCTGCCACCCATAGTATTTTTCAGGGCGGTCCAGATGTCTTGTGACCCCCCCTCCAATTACTTCCAAGAAAGTACAAGCTGCATTTAAAACAAAAATGAATATGCAAAGGGAAAACGTTTTTATTAGCGCGTCAATTAAATTGGGGGGGCGGGGGGGGGGTCACAAGACATCTGGACCACCACCCTGTACATCAGAGGGTTCAATTCCAGGGGGTCACCCCCCCCCCCCACCGCCTGTCTAATCTGCTCGGTCATTTCGTACCACATTTGTTTGCCGCCGTCCCCAAAAAACTTTCTTCAGCCTCTCTCGCCATTCATTAAAGGAGGCATCAAAACCCCGATGATTAAAGGCAACGTGTTAAAGTTACACAAATTCTGCGCGGCTAGCAGCGTGACCTGGCAACTGCATTTAGCCTGCACTTTAATTCCTATATTGCATCGGGTCTCTCCTCTCTCCTGCAGGATAATGCTACGGACAAGCACTGAACGCGGAGTCAAATCTGCTGACACATTCCATCCTGGAAGCACCACACTGCTCCAAAGCCCTACCCAGTGGCGCACCCTTCACAAGAATGGCAATTCTGTGCGCCCGAAACAAAAGCGCATACGAGCATTACCAGTAATCAGGGTTAACCACATCTCCACCTGACTATTTTGCCAACCTGCCTGACTGGTTAATTTTATATGGCAGACTTCCAGTGCAGGGGGGAGGGGGTGTGTCTATTCCAAATTCCAATTTGGGGCGAGTGCGGTGGTAAGCGCATTGCACCGTGAGCTCGGTAAACCTGAGTTCGATTCCAGCTAACGTCAGTGGCGAGTGATATTTGAACCGGTCTCTGGCCCCCTAAAGCAATTACCGCTTTATATACTCACCAGCACGGGTGAAATATGGTCAACCAACCCCAACTGAAGGCATGGGAAGCCCATCATTTGGCAGTTGATTGCTAAAGGACTGCACATTATTTATGTTATTACTGAGCCATTATCAAGTCCAATAAGTAAACATAATTCCCATTAAATTTCCATTTAAAGCTTTCGTGACTGCAGGGATTCATATTCTTGGTTCTTTCGGTAAAGTCACGTAGAAAGGAAATAATAAAATAATAAAACGAAACCATAATAAAATATTTTATTATCTTTTGGTTCTTTCGGTAAAGTCACGTAGAAGGGAAATAATAAAATAATAAAAATAAAACATCATAAAATATTGTATTTTTTATTTTTATTAAGTCACCCATGAGTCCCTGCCAGACATAATAAAAGATTTTAGCATGTTGTATTTTTTATTATTTCCCTTCTACGTGACTTCACCGAAAAAAACAATAATTAAAATTCCCATTATTATCATCACATTATTTAATTTAGCCACACCTTTCCGCAAGCACTCAGGAGGTTTGACTGCTTCATTTCGCGAGCCACAGCAGTGATTTCATCATCCATGCTGGAATGATGGGAGAGCGCCCTTGCGTGTGTAGAGCTGCGCATTCCGCGTCATAATCAAAAGGAAGGATTAACCGGGAAGGTGACACGCAGCAGATCGGCTGAAGTCTTCACGTACCAAAGAGAAGGTGTCTGACAGGGACACATGGGTGACAGAGAATTGCCTGTGCAGCTCACAGAGTTACAATCGGCTCGCCGTTCCTAACCGCCAAGCACGGAAATACTTTCAGACAATGCGACGGTCTGAATTGGTGGCGCTGTTGTGGAGCGCGACGGTCACGTGTGTCAATTCGTGGATAGAGCTTCAATTACGCCGGGACGCGGTGACTGAACATCGCAAAGGGGAAGGAATCCGCGTGTATCGTGTTTGGCCTCTGCTGTCATGCATATGCATAATGGAGACACTGCAACCCTAGCCCTGTGTAAGCCGAGTTGGTAGCAGAGGGTCTCCCCTGTACAACGATGAACACGCGGTAACGACTGCACAACAAGTGGATCAACGCTGCACGAACGCGGTCAAGTTGTTCGGAGGCCTGTGGTGCCTAAACATGGATCCGCGTCGCCCACCGCTGAAATATATCCCCGGATATATGCCGGGCATTGACGGATACGGGAACGCATGTAACCACAGCGGCGTATGTCCCGCGCGTGTGCAGAGTACACTGTAATGTGACGTACATCAATATCCGAATGGACAAACGCAGGTTGCAGATGCCTGCGTAATACAAACCTCAAATGTCACTTAGCTCTCGCGACACCGAAACACATGTATGCTGCAGCTTCGTTAAGTGCTATAAAAATATAATGTAATCAATAACAACAACAAAAGTAAAAAAAAAAGGAGTGCCTTTAACTTTTTGGATGTAAATGTTCATATAATGTGAATACTATATTAGACTTAAATATTCACTTTTGGTAACTCAATTGTGATTGCCATCGTAAATGTATGTGGTAGGAACAAGCACACAAACAACATCTACAAACACCACCATGCAAGTATATAGAGGACACCACGAGAAGGGGACCCGCTGTAGACCGCTGTATGCCTGTTACCGATCGAGGAAAGTAAACCGTGACAACAACAAAAAAAATCCTGCCTGCGATTAACAACGAGGTAAACTCAATGTTGATTAAGACAAAATATATCTCCCACACGACACACTAACACCAGTACCTGCCTTAAACCGTACAATCTCTCTCTCTCTCTCCTTCAACATTGGGAAGATCCATACAGCGTCGTAACATTCAATGCTTTTTTAAGGAATTGCGAGCATCATTAATGTGTTTTCCCCTCCAACAAAAGTGAGGTGACAACAAGGTTTAGTTCTCCCAACGATGGAGAAGGCTATCCCCCCGGCAATTTCTTCCACTTTCTTTTGGAAGAAACATCATCACATTTGTTGGTATTTAGTACCATGGACAGGGGGAGCCCTTCCGTGGGCGATCGAGAGAGAATTTCGATACCAAGCAACCTCGCGCGTATATATATGTGTTAAAAAATAATAAATTAATTTACAAAACTTGTAAGGACCCCCCCCCCCCATCTATAAACGAGTGTGACATCGCAATCTAATAGTGGCGCAAGTGTGGCGCACTGCATTTAGTACACGCTGCTTTATTTCCCATGAGATTGTTACATTTTTAAAAATCCCCTCTCGACCGGCCACAACCTTAATTATTGTGTGGGGTGGGGGGGGGGGGGTGATTTGTGTTTCACACACATATGTTCGGTGATAGCACAGAGACGAGGGGAATTATACATTATTATACTTTTCTTCGTTTAATATAAAATAATAACAATAATAAATATTAATGAATTGTGTTTTCCCGGATGATTTCAGTCCTCACAGAGGGCCTCGCGCCAACAGAAGGCCGGGTTTGGGCCGTGCGTGAGGGGCAGTATGGGTGGGTCCACCATCTGCCAGATGCCCGCCTCCTCCAGCTCTTGACAGGCACAGAAGCCCAGGTACGGTACCTGCACACAACAGCAAGGGGCAGGAGCCACACGATGTGATGCTTGACAACATTGCAGCATCTAGTTCTGCCACGCTGACTACTCGCTTTTGCCGGACTCTTTCAACCCAACCACCGCAGTTTCAAAGTTCAAAGTTCATTTATTAGGTATAGTCCTGTGAGCCATTCGGCTCTTGAATCGGGTGCAACCGCAACAAACAATAAACAAAAATATGAACAAGAAAACATCTTAAAGTGACTATGTGCAAACAGAAAATCCAAGAAAAGACAGCAAAATATTGCAGAAAAATCACCGTACACCAACCCTGTGAAAATATCCCAGTGGGATGCAAGTCAAACAACAACAACAACAACCATAAGACAACTTAGATTAAGGCCATCAGTTGCAGATCGCAACAGCACACTCGCACCCACTTACCAAAAGGCTCATGCACAGGAATGAGTGGTCAATTTCGTAGGGTAACATTTTGCGTGAGCAGCAAAAATCGAGTGACCCTGACAGACCCCACATTTGCGAGTGAGTAAACTCCTCAAAGCTTGGCCACGTACGTAAATCCGTCAATCACTGTTCTGCACCGCTATCTCCCGGCCACCTCGCAATGCAGTGTGGGTGCGGGAGTTTCACAACTCCCCCCTTGAATCACCACAACCTTTGCTTCCAAGGCATTGTGCCACTGCAACAACCAACAACCGCCATTCGCCACTAAATCGCGGTGACGTCACCACGACGCTTGTGCCGGGCAATGTGCACCTTGATGCCACGTGAAGTGTCGAACGCCCGCTGGCAGGTCACGGCGCAGACCTAGATGCCACAGGTCAACTGACTGAGACTGACTGGCTGATGCACCACCTTTGCCCCCTACTGTGTCAACTTGCTGTGCTTTAGCCACCCGGTGCTCCGCTCGTTGTTGTGAGTGTCGCTCCTCCGCCCTCCGTTGTTGTTGGAGGGCGACTGCTTCCAACTGTCCACTCGTGTCCTTCACGAGCCTCCTCCACTAGAGGCCGATCTTGACACCGCTGGTGCCAGTCATCGACAAGTTCACTCAGCTCTACATCCTCCTGTACCACATCACTCCATCTCTTCTCTAGCCCGTACCGCGCCCGTTTCGCCCCCTCGATCCGGCCGAACAAAAGCTGTTTAGGCATGCGGTGGCTGGGCATGTGGGCTACATGGCCCAGCCAACGCAGCCTTGCCTGCCGAACGAGCTCACCGATGGGACTTTGTCCAGATCTTTCAAGGATTTGTGAGCTCCTCACACAATCAAGCCTGGTTAAATCCAAGAAGGATCGTAGGCAGGCCAGCCTAAATGTTTATAACCGGCGAAGATGTTCCATTAGGGGGCTCCACGTTTCGCAAGCGTAGAGAAGGGAGGGAATGACCGTGGCCGAGAAGACCTGAAGCTTCGTGCGGAGCGACAGACCAGGTAGCTTCCACACAGCGTTACACAACCGATGAAAAGATAATGCCGCTCAACTGGAGTGAGATCTCTGCTGTTCAACCGGAGCCGGTCATGAGCACACTGCCCAGGTATGGGAAACTCTCCACTCTATCCACAACTGCCCTATCACCAATTGGGAGTTGTGGGGGTGGAGTGTCCGATGGTACAAAATACCCAGGCAGGTGCTTAGTTTTGGTGGGGCTGATGGTAAGGCCCCACCTCTTAGTGGCAAGCTCCAGGTTCAACAGCAGCGTCTCCAACTCCTCCTCTGAGTGAGCAGCAATTACCAGATCATCAGCATACGTAACATGGTTGAGCAATAGGGAGCCATCCCTTGACCGCACCCGGGCATCGATCAGCCTCCCATTGTATCTGTACCAGATGGAAATTCCCCCGGTACAGCTATTGAAGGCTTCACGAACTACGTGGTAGAAATAGATGTTAAATAATGTGGGAGCCAGAGGACATCCCTGTCGCACCCCAAGGTGTACAGGGAATGGTTCCAACTCCCGACCACGTAGTTTTACCCAGGCCCGCTCACCATCATGAAGGTCCTAAATGATTGTGAGCAGAGGGTCAGCGACTCCGAAAGCACGAAGAACTACCCAGAGCCCAGGCCTACTGATGGTATCATAGGTCTTGACCAGGTCAATAAAGCAGAGATATAGGTCTTGTTGGAATTCCCTACACCTCTGCTGTAGCAGACAGACAGAAAATATGGCATCTGTGCAGGACCGCCCTTTCCTGAAACCGCATTGGGGCTCCACAAGCCTCTCCTCAGCGTGCCTAGCAAGGCGATATTGAATAATCCTTGCCAGGACCTTTCCCGGCACACTGAGGAGTGAGATGCCCCTGTAGTTGTTACAGTCTGTGCGGTCCCCATTCTTAAAGAGGGGGACCACCAGGGTATCCTTCCAGTCCTGCAGAACCCGTCCAGTGGTCCAGGCTGTTGTTACGATGTCATGGAGGGCAGTCTGTGCACAAACGCACAGTCCTAAACCTCGCCAATTTCCCCTCGACATCATGAAGAGTGGGGGACGATGCCAACCCCAGCCGCAAGCGATGATTAAATTCTCGCTTGCAACTTTCATCAGTTAGCTGAGACCATGCCACTAAGGGTTTGAATGGGGTCCTGGGTGTACACCCACCACTGGAGTGGAAGAATGGCAGGCGCATCTTACAGATGACAAGTCGATGGTCAGTGGGCAGATCAGCTCCACGGTAGGTCCTGGTGTCAAGGACATGGGCCCGCATCCGCTGTTACGTCACTATGTAGTCCAGCAGATTGTTCTTGCTTGGACCCGGCATGCATCCATGATATTGTGTGGATGCGCCGATGCCGGAACAGCGTGTTGGTAATTACAAGCCCATGGGCTGCAAAAAAATCTAGCAGCCTCCTGCCGTTGTTATTGAGCTGATCTGGCCCATGCCTTCCAATCACTCCAGACCAGGTGCCAGCATCATGACCAACTCGGGCATTGACGTCACCCATCAAGATGACTCTATCCCTGAGGGGCCACTTTAGCTAGCACCTGTGCCAAGGAGGTCATAGAAGGCATCTGACTCATCGGCCTTGCCTGCATCCCTCCATGGATGTTCGTCTTCATGTGGGGGCATAAGTAACCACGACCACCACTCCTCACCTCTGGTTGATGGGAAGGTGAGCCCAAAGTAGCCTGGGGCTTACAGCTTCTCACACCTCACCGCCACGCTCCCACGCCCCCTTCATTCTTTTGTTCAGAATAAGAGCAACTCCCTGTTGTTTGGCAGTCTCCTGCCCTGAGAAGAGGACTGTCCACCCCTCATGGTGGCAGGAGCCAGAGCTGGTCCACCGGACCTCCTGAATGCCACAGAGATCCAGGCGGTACCGGTCCAGGTCCCGACAGAAGAGTGGCAGCCTCTTCTCCGCAGTGAGCGTTCGAACATTCCACGTGGCCACATGTAGTGGTTTTTTGTTGTTTCTCGGGGAGCTCCGAGAATAAGGATTCAGTCTCCTGGCTCCGCCAAATGGGGTTTGGCTAGGAAACGTCATAGACGCCTGGCACAAGCTTTTAATTACATTTTTCCGTCGTGGTTTAGCGGTAATTAATTGAAGGTGGAGGGGTTACCAGCTCCTCGCACCCGCCCAGAGCCCCCTTTTGGTAGCTGTGGTGGTCACAAACGCCATGAGGGAGGGGAAAGACCAATCGGAATTGGCCCTCCCCCTACAGCACTGCGCATGACAGCGTTGCCCATACGGCACCACGAGAAGGTAGGGGGTTGTTTTGCCTGGACATCGGCCCGCATCCCTAAACGTTTGCCACTCCACCCACACACACACATGTGCTCGCCCCCCTAAAAGTTTGGTAATATGATCCATTGTAAGTTTTTGCGGGAGGTAAACATTTGTCTAAAGCACATTTCAAAACCAGGCAGGACAAGAATAAATTTAGCCAAACCAAAATACACATGGAGGGGCTTAGGGAGGGGTCTTGCAAGAGCAAACACGAGGACTGGACCATCAAGATTGAGCCATAGTTGGAAATTGCATGATCTATGCTTCATCCCATCTTTGGGTTTTGGAGACCGACTTGACATTGCTACATTTGGATATGATTGAAAGGAAATCTGATTGCAGCAAAAAAGAGTTGCATTTGTCCATGACTGGTCTAACATCCGACATCAGGTGTGCTAGATCACTCGCACTGGCCAATTCGGATCCTATTTCGTGGATTTGCAGATCAACAGAATGGCTTTGTTCTGAATCAGATATGACTCGTGCTCCTTGATGAGATAAAGCAAAAAACACATCCCCCCTAACAAAATAGCTGATTAAAGCCAATAATCTGTAGGCGCTGCGTGGGGGTGCTTATGTGCTGTTGAAAAAGTGATGGGAACAGTCAAGACGTCCTGTGGCATCATATTTCATATGAATGCCAGTGTTGAAATGTAAACACAACAAAAAAGATAAATGTATTTCCTCTAAAATTATTTTAAATAATAATGGCCAACACGCCTACGCTCAGTTGGTTTTGCAACGCCACCACAATGGACTTGCAGTGTGTGAAGAGGATTCAGAATTTTTTACTCAAACCAGTGGTTCTTAGCCTTTACTGCAGCCTTGCACCCCTTTGTTTCTGAATCGTTATAATGTTTTACAATGTTAATAAATAAAGAGGGTTTTACGAAACAAAGTAGTTGTATTGATGTGCCCGTGCCTCATTTGTGTTTCTAAAAATATCTGGCATGTCTCGCACCCCCAGGAAGGGGCATCTCGCATCACAGGTTAAGGAACCACTGACTTAAGGCACGAAACTGATTTGCGTGGAAAAATTAGGACGAAATAATATCTCTAGAGCACTCTCCTGCAGAAGCCCTTCCATCAGTGGTGGTGTGAGCAATACATTTCTGAGCTGCACCTTTATTTACCTTTATAAAGTGATTGTGTAAAAGGCACACGCACACAAGCATAGCAGTAGTATGACTAACCAACAATATGTTCATGGGGGTGTTGTTAATGCAGCAGTCATGGCTTAAATAGTAAAACTGCCTGCAAATTCACGAACTATAAAAATGTATCATGATGGTCCTTTCTGTGTACACTGTCAAGAATTTAAATTCAGAGTTTTGGCTTCAAGGTTAGTGGGCAGATGGAGGTGAAATAGTGATGACAAAAGCACTGTTTTATAAAGGTATGCCTTTTAAATCAAATGTAAAGGAGACCAACATTACTGCTGGGGCACAGGGTCATCCCAGATTTTCATTTACCAAAAAATATAAATACCAGATTACCATATATCCATGTTTTTGACCGAGATAAGGCCTTAAAAAAATTGGACCCATGACCTCAATAATACAATTCGCAACTAGTTGCCATTTTTAAATGACCATTCATAAGTTTGTCCTGTAAATGATATTTTCTAAAAATAAATGCGTTCACACAATGGTCACGTGGAAAAATGGCTAAAATGTAATAAAATCTTCTTGTTTGGTGACATGCGAGTGACCGATAAGGATTTGCATTAATTTAGTTGTTTAAATGCTGAAGCATCTCAGAGTGAGTGAATAAACATGACCACGTTTTTTTGGCTGAAGTAGCTATAATATGGTATTAAGAAACTGTAAAAGTTGCCAAGGGGTTACGCAACTCCATTGTCTGTGCAAGTCAAGATATTTATTTCATTACACCCTCCAGTGAGCTGAACCTACTTTGTAAATATCACACGAATTCTGAGTTATTAGTGACGAACTTGTGGCGTATAAAACGCATTGATCTCCAATTTACGTGCGCTAAACTGGCTGGAAATAATCCACACTGTTCATTGACGCGAGGGCAAACATAAATGATAGGATTACAAGAATTTGTAATGATCAACTGGTCCCCTTGAACACGTAAATAAAGAATTCGCCTACAGAGGAAAGGCATTCCCCCTCACTGTGCCCAAGTTCCTTTAGTGTATATGTCAATTCTAGGCACACACAGTAACTATTTTTCGATTTAAAGCTTTCGTGACTGCAGGGATTCATCTTCTTGGTTCTTTCGGTAAAGTCACGTAGAAGGGAAATAATAAAATAAGAGAATTATTATATTATATTATGTTTTATTTTTCTTATTTTCTTATTTCCCTTCTACGTGACTTTACTGAAAGAACCAAGAAGAGTAACTATTTTATAAATGTATTTTGTTCTCGTGTGGCTAAGATGAACACGAGTCAACGTTTCACGAAACAAAGAACAGGCACGATGAGACCTCCTTTACCAGTGGCAAAATATAGTAGTAGGTTTTTACCCTTTCAAATGGTACAAAAACTGACACCTTTATACAAGGCATCATGTTTGCAATAACCACAACACAAGCAGTCAAAATGCAAACAAAAAGAAACAACTCTGATGATGATGATATGCACTGTCCTTGAAGTTGATTGGTTCACACCCGAGACAGCTTTTCTTAGAGCCTAGTCTCCATTGGTGTTGGACCAGATGACGCTAAAAGGCGTACAACTCAAAGACAGCACACTATTAGAGTATTGAGAGCTCGGAGTAAAGATTTCTGGCTCCCAGGTGTCGGGGTAAAGATTTCTGGCTCCCAGGTGTCTTTTATACAGGTAACAAGCTGAGATGAGGAGCACTCCCTTTAAGAGTGTGTTCCTAATCTCAGCTCGTTACCTGTATAAAATACACCTGGGAGCCAGAAATCTTTCTGATTGAGAGGGGGTCAAATACTTATTTCCCTCATTAAAATGCAAATCAATTTATAACATTTTTGACATGCGTTTTTCTGGATTTTGTTGTTATTCTGTCTCTCACTGTTCAAATAAACCTACCATTAAAATTCTAGACTGATCATTTCTTTGTCAGTGGGCAAACGTACAAAATCAGAAGGGGATCAAATGCTTTTTTCCCTCACTGTATGCAAGCAATCGCAGGGCTGATTTTGTACCCATTTATGTACTTCATGTAAATGAGCCCTTTGTCAATTCATTACTGGATAACGATGGCCCTCTTCACATCACAGGGGTCATTGGAATTATTTGACCATTCCTCACCACTTGGAGAGGCGTAGATTTGTCAAAGTGGGGGAGCATCGGCATGAGAGCACAGAATTATGCCAGAGTCTTCAAAGAATTGTCTGTAAATCACAGTGACTTCACAATACATTGAAATACCCATAAACCTGGTTTTCGTTCAATACAGGCCTATTACATGTGTGCACTCGGCCATTTTAGGGGGCGGGCAATTTCCAGTCTGATGAACAACAACACACACACAGCAAGTTACCACCTGCACGACAAAACCGCACAACCCACCGCATCAACACACGTCGGCAAAAAGCAGCCGTGGGGCAAATAAATAACGCATCAATGTTTGCCGACGTCAGTCAAAAAAAAAAGAACCACAGCAGCAGCAATGACAGCTTCACGACTTCAAGAAGGTCAGGACGGGGTATGGCTTGAGGGTTGGGTTGAGGGGTTTGCTGGTGGGGCAGCCTGACCTTGCGCACGATCTGGATGAAGTCTTTAGCCGGGAGCTTGCTCAGCCCACGGAGCTGTCGGGTGCAGGCGTCGAGAGACGAGGCGTGGCCCACCATGAGCACTCGCGACAAGCCTGCTGGCGCCGCCGCACGGAACACAACAACGCTCATCGTCACTCAGTTTGTTGTCCTACCCCTGCACCTCCGACAAAAAAGCACGGTTGGCTACGTGCGGTGCGAAAGAAGTTCAACATACATACAGTGAGGGAAAAAAGTATTTGATCCCCTGCTGATTTTGCACGTTTGCACACTGACAAAGAAATTATCAGTCTATAATTTTAATGGTAGGTTTATTTGAACAGTGAGAGACAGAATAACAACAACAAAATCCAGAAAAACGCATGTCAAAAATGTTATAAATTGATTTGCATTTTAATGAGGGAAATAAGTATTTGACCCCCTCTCAATCAGAAAGATTTCTGGCTTCCAGGTGTCTTTTATACAGGTAATGAGCTGAGATTAGGAGCACACTCTTAAAGGTAGTGCTCCTAATCTCAGCTTGTTACCTGTATAAAAGACACCTGTTCACAGAAGCAATCAATCAATCAGATTCCAAACTCTCCACCATGGTCAAGACCAAAGAGCTCTCCAAGGATGTCAGGGACAAGATTGTAGACCTACACAAGGCTGGAATGGGCTACAAGACCATCGCCAAGCAGCTTGGTGAGAAGGTGACAACAGTTGGCGCGATTATTCGCAACTGGAAGAAACACAAAAGAACTGTCAATCTCCCTCGGCCTGGGGCTCCATGCAAGATCTCACCTCGTGGAGTTGCAATGATCATGAGAACGGTGAGGAATCAGCCCAGAACTACACGGGAGGATCTTGTCAATGATCTCAAGGCAGCTGGGACCATAGTCACCAAAAAAACAGTTGGTAACACACTACGCCGTGAGGGACTGAAACCCTGCAGCACCCGCAAGGTCCCCCTGCTCAAGAAAGCACATATACATGCCCGTCTGAAGTTTGCCAATGAACATCTGAATTATTCAGAGGACAACTGGGTGAAAGTGTTGTGGTCAGATGAGACCAAAATGGAGCTCTTTGGCATCAACTCAACTCGCCGTGTTTGGAGGAGGAATGCTGCCTATGACCCCAAGAACACCATCCCCACCGTCAAACATGGAGGTGGAAACATTATGCTTTGGGGGTGTTTTTCTGCTAAGGGGACAGGACAACTTCACCGCATCAAACGGACGATGGATGGAGCCATGTACCGTCAAATCTCGGGTGAGAACCTCCTTCCCTCAGCCAGGGCATTGAAAATGGGTCGTGGATGGGTATTCCAGCATGACAATGACCCAAAACACACGGCCAAGGCAACAAAGGAGTGGCTCAAGAAGAAGCACATTAAGGTCCTGGAGTGGCCTAGCCAGTCTCCAGACCTTAATCCCATAGAAAATCTGTGGAGGGAGCTGAAGGTTCGAGTTGCCAAACGTCAGCCTCGAAACCTTAATGACTTGGAGAAGATCTGCAAAGAGGAGTGGGACAAATCCCTCCTGAGATGTGTGCAAACCTGGTGGCCAACTACAAGAAGCGTCTGACCTCTGTGATTGCCAACAAGGGTTTTGCCACCAAGTACCAAGTCATGTTTTGCAGAGGGGTCAAATACTTATTTCCCTCATTAAAATGCAAATACATTTATAACATTTTTGACATGCGCTTTTCTGGATTTTGTTGTTGTTATTCTGTCTCTCACTGTTCAAATAAACCTACCATTAAAATTATAGACTGATCATTCTTTGTCAGTGGGCAAACGTACAAAATCAGCAGGGGATCAAATACTTTTTTCCCTCACTGTATACTCGCACCGCTTAGGCAGAATCCCTAACCCCCCCCCCCACCCCAACATCATCTCTCTAGGCACACGACCCCCCTATAAACACGTCAGAGAAAAAAAACCACACACACAATCCTCAAAATTTATGTTGCTATTTGCCGACTGACGTGGTTGCTGTATAATGCACGCAACACAAAATAAGCATCAGCGTCGTTATGGAGAATACAAATACGGAGAGAAAGGAGGAGTCTTTGTCCGCCCATTAACTTTGTTGCCAATGTTCTCCGCAGTGACGCAAAAGGCTATTTTGACCGCACAGTCCCATCCCGTGGTCACCAAAGAAAACGAAAATACTCGTAAAGATTACCCTCAAGAGCACTCAAAGGTCCAGCCCTGCTGAACAATTAAAAAAATCTGACCCCGAGCATCCGCTGTGGCGCAAATGCTGAACCCTAAAACACATCCCAAAATAATCCAATTGCGTTGATATTGCATAGCGTGCGCCGCAGCTGTGCCAATACCAGCTCTGCCACATTTTTTTGGGCTTTACCTGCGCGTTGTTCGGCACGATCCCATCCCCGCGGGAGCTTCTGGACGAATAAAAAAGTAACCCGTAAAAACAAAGTTTTTCACTATAAATCCTTTATATGCGTGGCGGCTAGAGTCCTCTCGTCCTCTGGCTTGAGATGGCTGCCACCTATGGGTCAGATGATTGCCTGCCACCATTAAGCAATTGGTAATTAAATATAATTTTATTTTTCCTAAAAAGTGTAAAGTTATGGAAAAAAAATTTCACGAAAATAAATTGTCACGCACAACGAGTCTGTGTGCAAAATGTCAGCTCGATTGGCTCATGGGAAGTGGGTTAAAAAACGACCGAAAGATTTGCACGGTCGTAAGCAAGCAAGCGAACTTAATATAAAGGATTTAAAAAAGGAAATCGAGGGGCCGAAGAAGCTCCCGTCATTTGCAGCGGAACGTCCGACAGTAACAACCTGACAACACTTTGGAGAGCTATAACAGCATCGTGTTCTTACACAACAACGTGCGACCAAGTCGACACAGTATTCTCCCTGCAGTAAAGTCAATGGGGCCGACCGTAACAAACATGAGAACGTTCATATTTATTTCAAGCGGTCAGTGGAGTGTTATTGTGAACTAGGTGACCGGCCCCGTTCATAAATAGACAAGTCTCGGGCGTCCAGCGATGCATCCCAATTACTATGTCAAAAGCCATGGGCCCCACACACTCCCTACTTTTACGACGTTGTACACGCATGTCTGTGCAAATCAGCGGTTTGGAAGCTTGAGTTGATGAACTAGATTTGTGGTAAACCTTCGGCATGTTTGAGCGCCACCGATTTCACCGATCCCGCCACAAAGCGCTGCACAGGGTGGGGTGGGGGCGGTCGTGACATCACCGTCACTTTATTGGCAGCCGTTGGCGTTGTTGAACTTCTTTCACACCTTGCGTAGCCAACCGTGTTAAATCGGAGGTGCGGGGCAAGGCAAACAAACTTAACACCAAAAGCATTCCTAAAAGAAACGAGTTGTCAATCTAGATGATGATTTAAAAGTGCACAGCTCCCAATGGCTTCCTAATAACGTACGCAAGAGTGTTCCAGACGGCCGCAGGAGCGCATCCCGACGGCGCTTCTCTCCACCTGCAGCCGCGCCACTGTTGCGTTCGCCTTCAACCGCCGTGTGTTGTGTGTGCGTGTGGAGGTCTCGCCGGTGGTGACTGCAGGGGCCTCTCACCCTTCTGCTTGCAATCGGCCAGGATCTCCCTGCACACGTGGAAGCTCCGTGTGACGTACACGTCGTACGATTCGCTCGGGTTCAACTGCGCCACCGGAATCAGGGGCCTGGAGACGGACCCGGGACGCACACAACAAGAGACAACAACAAAAACAAACCCCAGCGCTATTGTGGATCCGCAAGAGGGCAGAGGACAGCGGAGGAGAGCGGAGAAGGAAAAACAACAAGGGGGAGCACCACTTGAAGGCCGTAGATCGTGCGTGCAACGGTGGCACGACTGCAGATGGAGAGAAGCGCTCTTGACTGTGTGGCCAAAGAGGTCTGATGATACATTCTGTTTTGCAATAACGCCGCGTGTTGTTTTCACAACGCGAATTGGATATAATGCGATGAATGTATTAGGGGAACACATTTTTTTTTATTACGCGGATGCGAATTGTATGCGACGCGATAGAGCGAAAAGAACTACGTCGCGCGAGTAGGAATGAGCGGTTGTACGGCTGCTTGGATGCATCTAGATGCTACCCACGCACCTCAGACTTTGCTCAGCCTGCGTACACATCTCACGTGTTATCGCGGACTTTGCTTTACCCTATATTATTTATTATAACGCGGTGTTCTTCAGAAACGCAACTACTACCCTCTTTAAAGGAGAACAGGCTGTTTTAATAATAATGATGACTTTTATTTACCCAGGAAATCCTCACTTGATTCTAAATACCCCTTGTTCAGAAGGCTCTTGCATCGGGACGTCTGGCTAATTTTCCATTAATTGAGTGTTTGGTATGTCGAGAGGAAGCGGACGCACGATAATAATCACGCAGATATTAGGATAATTTATCGGCCTTTGTCAATTCACTGATAAAATGAAGGCCTCCCTACACCTTTTTGGTAATTTGGGTTAGTTGATCGTACTTCATCACTCTGGATAGAGCAAGACCACTCTCACCTCCGATTAGCACCGTTGGCTACGTACGGTGCGAAAGAAGTTCAACGTTAGCCATGGTTTGGAATCAAACTCAGGTCGCCATCTCACTACCACCACTCCACCTCAGAATGTTGAACTATACTCAGAAACGCCCCCATCCCCTCCGTATGAGAGGGGGAATGAAGCAAAGCTCTACGCAGATTAATACAACTGCTGTACTGCCATTTCTTGGCCACCTTTCTAAGGCAGTATCCTCCCCATTCGAACACCACCCAGACTCATCCCTGCTAAGCTTCCACAATTCACGAGATCCGGTGCATTGAGGGCAATTTGGATCATATTCGAGAGATATTCACGAGTAGTAGATTGACTACATCACACGATAAGGGGAGGTAGGTGTGCGTGTGGGGGGTGGGGGCGGTAGCGTCGTGCTTACCGCACTGCGCTATGAAACCAGCGACACGAGTTCGATTCTCGCTCGTGGCCAACATCAGCGACATGTATCCGAATTGGGCCCGAGACTTCCCTAGGCCGACCCAGCCTGAATGTATTACCTGCCGTAGAGTGTAAACATCACCCCCACTTGGACATGTGGGCCTTCGTCGGTGCTCGTCAACAGTACTGTTCAGGCTTCACGGGAAATCTCCTCCACGCGTGTGTGTGCTTGTGTTTGGGTGGGGAGCGGTGGTTTAGCGGTTAGCGCGCTGCGCTATAAACCCGGCTACCCGGGTTCGATTCCCACTAACGGCCAACACCGGTGACGATTATCTGAACCGGTCCTGGGCCTCCCCTAGGTCGACTTAGCTTCAAATGAGTACCTGGTGCGGTGCGTAAACATTGTCACTGGGAAAACAAAGGCGGTCGGGCGTGGTGTTGGCCACCCACCCCCCTCGTGTACCGTTCCAGCCTTCATAGGTGCTACTCCTTAACAGCACTTGCCCCGGAAGTCTGTTAAGGCTATACGGGTGATCTTTGTCTTTGTGTGTGGGTGACGTCGCACCTGTAGGTGGTATCTATGTGGATTCCAGCTGCCGTGAGCTCTTGGTTTGACATCCAGGATGGCAGACAGTTCCCAGGTGTCCACTTGGTCCACTCAAACAACCCTGGCTCGATCTTAATCCTAAGCCGGCCCTCGATCTGCAGACCTGAAATGTAACGAAGGGCAAAAACTCACTGGGTTTCCGATAGACGAGTTACAAACAAGAACAACTCGGGGTCGCTCGAATAAAAATGCATCCGCGCAAAGTAAAAATGAACTCCAGCACGTTGTTGAGTTAACGTCACCAATTTCAAGAAAAAATTCATTCATTGTTACTCTTCCAACAATTGCCACTGGTGCCGTGCACAGCTACAGCCGTCTCAACCTCTCCGGCCTCTCTCTGTATGCTGGCAATCGAGAGCCATTGGCCTTCTTCCTTCTTTCATATGGCTGCCGATGTAGATGCAGAGCAACAACCGCAATGTCACAATCAGGCGGTCAAGCCGGATAACCGCGTTAAGAGTCAGCGGAGTGTTAAACCCGTCACCACCCGACACAGCCAATTAAGCAAGGTGTGTCGGGTGGTGGCGGGTTTAATGACACATTGATATTTACGGGATCCAGCCGACGTGCTAAACTTTAACACCGCTGCTCGAAATGAGCGTCGCCTCAACCCCTCACGCTCACGTCGCCGACAGAGTCATCCTTGTAATCCGCCGCCTCTCCGGCCTTTGCCTCCGCCGACCCACCCATCCACTGCTACCCTGTTAAAACGCTTCGTTTGACGTCGTTTCGACATTCCATCGCCGCCGCACCTTTCGGGCGGGGGTGGGGCGGGTTATGGTACGAGTGGCGACGAAAAAAAACGGGCGACGCGCGCTCACCTTTAAGGAGATGCTGCGCCGTCTGAACGCAGCGGAGGGAAGGGGAGCAGTAGACCACGTCCACCGCCGCGGCAACATCGAAGAGCGCTTCACCTGCCGTCGTACGCGACAGCGGGGATGCATTATTTAAAAATTAACCCGTAAAAACAAAGTTTTTCACTATAAATCCTTTATATGCGTGTTCAATGGGCCACAACCCAGCCCACATTGGTCTTTGAAACGGGCGGCTAGAATCCTCTCGTCCTCTGGCTTGAGATGGCTGCCACCTATGGGTCAGATGATTGCCTGCCACCATTAAGCAATTGGAAATTAAATCTAATTTTTTTTTACCTAAAAAGTGTAACATTTTGGAGAAAAAAATTTCACGAAAAGAAATTGTTACGCACAACGAGTCTATGTGAAAAATGTCAGCTCGATTGGATCACGGGAAGTGGGTTAAAAAACGACCGAAAGATTTGCACGGTCGTAAGCGCGCAAGCAAGCAAGCAAGTGAACTTAATATAAAGGATTTAAAAACGAAAAATCCTTTTGGCACGTGGGGGTGAGCTGTCATGTCTATGGAGTTTTTTCGATTTTTTTCATCATTTATTGCCAGCATTTTGGATGCTGCCAAGAAGAAGGCTGTCCTCTGGTGGGGACCAATCATATTCTTGGGGTTTTTTGGTAAAGTCACGTAGGTAAAAAAATAAAATTAATAAAAGTAAAATAAAATAAAAATCACGACGTTTCGGAGGCAACACAAGCTTCCGTCTTCAGGTGGAACCGTCACAGCATGATAGCTGTATCAAGTAAATGAGAAAGTTCCACCTGAAGACGGAAGCTTGTGTTGCCTCCGAAACGTCGTGATTTTTATTTTAATTTTACTTTTATTAATTTTAATTTTTTACCTACGTGACTTTACCGAAAAAACCCAAGAATATGAATCCTTGCAGTCACGAAAGCTTCAAATCTAGAATGGGGGCCAATCAGTTTCAAAGACAATGCATTTACTATGAATATGAATCCCTGCAGTCACGAAAGCTTTAAATAATTTTTTAAATAAAAATGCATATACTGTCAGGGCATGTTTTTGTTTGCATGTTCGCTACAAGTATAAGTGATTAATGCAGACATGATTCCTTGCAAAAGGTTTCTGTTTGGTGTTTTAATGTCTTAACACAGCTGTTTTTTTTTGCCAGAAAGGGTAAAACCTATTTTTAGAAATCTTATGATGTCATCGCGAAGAGCTTACAAGCAGCGCCGTCACAGTTGCGTCGAGTCGAGCGTGGCTGTCGTTAGAGAAGCATGATGATGATGTCATCGGCGGTCGCCATGTCGTTGCAGCGACGCTCACCTGTGAGCCGGGCCTGAGTGACCCCCAGGACGGTGAGCGGGGGGTCATTCTCGAACTGGCGATGCCCTCCGCTCCGTTGCGGCAGACTGGCCGGCATGTTCATGTTCGATCGAAAGTACACTCCTAGAATCGCGGATCAAGGCGTTTCAATTGATTAGTCGTGAGTCGATCATCTGTTACATTTAAGATGTTAACTCGGTACTCTGTGATGCGCGGAACTCGTAGCCGGAGGTGGTCGGGGTCAGGCTCTGGTGTCAGAGCAACGAGGCGAGATAGCCAAGCACCTGGGGTTCAAATCCACGTCTCGGGCTTTATTAAAATGATTTCCTAAGCGTAGCTGAATGACAGTCTCAGACCGGTCACAAATGTCTGCAAAATAATTTGTTTCTTGATCTAATTTGTTTTGGTTACTCCAGCTTGAAGAATGCCGGAATGTTCGGTTTTGATTGGCATGTGATAAACACAATTTGAAGGCCACATAAGACGTGCGTCCCTTAGCATGGCTAGAGGCCTGTTTGAAGTGACTTAAGTAGTAGTTTTGTGAAGTCATCATGGAAGTAGTGTACAACAATACATATTTCTGCAATGTGCTATGCGGCGGAGAACATACACGCTATTACAAAATTCCAAATTGTGTTACTTAAGATCGCACGCCCGCACGCCTGCACACAAAGCCGAGGGCTGCTGCTGTTGTTGTTGTTGCCGCGGTCGTCGCTTTGCCCGTGGAGCTTTTCTCTCACGCGTGACTTACCCCGCTCGTCGAAGCACTGTGCCACCCACTGCCGTCCGAACACCACGTCCATGCGCTCGCCGTGCCGCAGCACAAACAGACTGCGGCGGGCCAGCTCCGTGCCGGAACGCGCGCCGCCACGCAGGGACCGCTGTGTTTGTGCCGCACCGCCGACGCAGCCACAGGGAACAGCACACGATGGCACAGTTACACATCACAACGGCGGAAACACGGCCACGAGCGTGGACGGGGACACGGGTAGAGTCGCTACCGCGGGGCGCAATCGCTCCCCGCGGGCAAAGTCACGGATATCATCACTACCACGGACACAATCGTTCCTGTGAATGCAATCACTTCCACAACCACAGGTGCCACGGCCACAATCCCTGCCACAGACACAATTAGTTCCGGACAGACACCACCACCATCGTTTCAGGCAATGGGGCCTTCTTCATAGCATGTAGATCGAGTTTGCATATGAGGCTGGTGTCAACCACAGCAAACGCTTGCAACTGTGACTTGCAACCGTGCTTTGACAGACTGTGCATCTGCAAGTGCAATGGAGACCTTCGTATAATGTCGTAACTATTGCTGCTATACGTTTCTCTCCACGTTGTTCAATCGTTTTTTGTTGTTGGAGTTTACGTACGACTTGTTAATTTATCTGGCCACATAACTTCCTCATGTAATGTTTCCCCATTGACAACCCCAGCTTGGGCTGGACATAAGTAAGCGCCTTCCGTTTGCACATTTATATTTTGCTGCTGTAAATTTCCACGTGATAAGCCACTTCGTTCAGCTATCATTTATGGCCAGGTCGCTTCTGAAAAATAAGTTAATACCTCAGCAGGCTTTGCCTGGTAGGATGGGGATGGTTTAAGTTTTATTTTCAGGTGTTTGGAATATTTGCTTACCTTTCTTGTACTTTGGATTCCTATCATGTTTTTTTGCATTGTTTGCTGTTGAAACGTTCTTACCCCTACGCCGTGCCCCTACTGGAAATCGGTTAAAAAAAGAACTTCATAAGCTCACCGCATTCCTCCTGCTGCAAGAGAAATAAATATTCCGATTCTGATTCTGACAAGTGGAAAAAAACCCAAAGAACTTAGTAGCTCAACTAGTTCCTCCAGCTTGAGCGAAATGTCTACGCGAGGTAACAAACCCCGAGTGTACTGGGAAGTGCAGCGAATACGTGAGCAAGCTGCACACGCCCGTAACTTTAGCCATGGCCAGATCTCAATCTCCAACAGGCATGCGACAGGTATCAACGTGTCAGGGTTATCAACCTCCCCGCATGCCTGCTTAAAGAGAAGGTTGAAATGGTACACAAAGTTGGGTTTTATGATCGTATCACACCAGCTTTTGTCTAAGATGTCCCTGAAGCGATGGCCCGAGTAAGATAATATACTGTAAAACCTTTGCAGAAGTTGGAACACAAACCTACATCTGTCATCACGATATAGAAAATAGCAATGCCTTAGTTTGTCCTTCTGTCATGCTATGGCGATTTTGCCGATGCTTCAAATTGATAGTGTTCTCACTAGCATGAACCCTTTTGCCCTGTAACCATATTCTGTTTGATACAGTAACGAACGCACACCCATCATATCCAAATCTACATGCACGCTAGTACACAGTCACTGAACGTTTGTGTGCGCGTGCCTTTTAGACATTTGTTATATTTTTTATTGGAACTGCCATTACACTTGTTTACCCAGAAATGCCTAACCGAGTCTAATGACTCTTTACCAAGAGGGTCGTGCCAAGTTTTCACAGTGGGGGGGGGGGGGGGAGGTGAAATAATTGCTCTGCATCTACCCAATCGAGCAAATTTTCAGGAGTCATTGACCATTTCATATTTGGCCGGCGCGCAACTCTTTACAGCCGATACACCCGCCGGAATCGATCGGGGCGGCCTGCCGGATTCGAACCTCTAACCCCCCCCCCCCGCCCCATCACCAGCTCACAATGTTTCCAAGAGTAATTCGCGCCGACATCTGAATATAGGGTATGGTATGTGTGCATGTATTTTTTTACTTCTTTCGCTCCGTACGTAGCCAACCGTGCTAATCGGAGGTGCGGGGGAATTACAACGATACAGCCCATGGCACTGGCAAGCAGAAGCAAGCAAAAAATATATATATTGGAGGAATGTGAAATACAGGCGTAGAAAACATTGGGTCATCAACAGATGTTTTGCTGAAGTGGGGGAGAGAGATGCCGAGATAAGAGAGTGGGGAGGGGCAAGGCAGGGGGGTAGGGGGAGGGGAGCGTTGCGTGGACGCTAGGAGAGGGAAAGGGACGTGAAGCTGGACAGGGGGAAGTGGGCGGGGTTGGAAGTGGGAGGCTGAGAGGGCTGGGGATGTGTGGGGGGGAGGATGCAACAACAACGCCATGCAGCAACAATGCCAATGAAGCAAACAATGCCAATGCAGCAGCAATGCCAATGAAGCCAACAATACCAATGCAGCAGCAATGCCAAACGCTGGGGATGCAATTAACTCGGCAAAATAAACTAGTGCCCGGCAAATATGATGGAACAACCATAAAGCATTTAAGGTTTAACCTGGTTAATAACATCCTTCCAATGATTGCTCAATTTGTAACCATCTTCTCGGTTGAAGTTATGTCTATGTTTATGTGTCTGGATGGCTTCATGAACAAACCTTTGATAGTAGCCCGAAAGGTTTGCAGAGCACCTTGGTCTTGGAAAAAACAATATCATGAGAGCCCACAGCGTTATAGCAATGGTCAGCCATGGCGGAGGTATTAGTCCTGCCGTGTTTCAGATCTGCCTTGTGCTCGCGAACACCGTCCGAGACATGTAGTTTCCCCAATGTAACAATCACCACAGGTGCAACTTAGTTTGTAGACTCCAGGATATTGCATATCAGGAATGACATCCTTCACAGATGGGATTAGATCACGGATTTTGTGTACTGTACTGAAAAAAAAAATTCTTGCTGTGGTTTTCCCACCTGATGATGATTGCTTGTGTTACAATCGAAACGTCGTGATTTTATTTATTTTATACCTACGTGACTTTACCAAAACAACCAAAGAGTATGGATCCCTGCAGTCACGAAAACTTCAAATCTAGATTCATCACAGATTTGCCAAGGACAATCACAATGGCAGTGGATATATCACCGCTAACGATAAGAATGTGGATTTAAAGCTTTGGTGACTGCAGTGATTCATCTTCTTGGTTCTTTCGGTAAAGTCATCACGTAGAAGGGAAATAATAAAATATTAAAATAAAACATAAGATAATTCTCACGACGTTTCGGCCACAGCGCAAGCAGCCGTCCTCAGGTGAAGACCAGGTCTGTCGGGGAGACAGCGTCTGACAGACCTGGTCTTCACCTGAGGACGGCTGCTTGCGTTGTGGCCGAAACATCGTGAGAATTATCTTATTATGTTTTATTTTATTATTTTATTATTTCCATTCTACGTGACTTTACCGAAAAAGAACCAAGAAGATAAGAATGTGCTTCGATGAAAAGCTTTGTGACGAGTTCCCAAGACAGGTGCTGTGTAACTCCGACACCGGTATTATCCTTACTGTTGCTGCCAGTGCCATCGATGCGCGTCTACGCCCTTCTCCTTGGTGTCTATCTCTTATGCTGTGTGGAGTCGCTGCTGTGTGGAGTCGCTGCTGTGCCTCATCCGTTGCTGCTGCTGTATTTCTGTGCTGCTGATGTATTTCTGATCTGCTGCTGCAGCAGAGGTCGCAACCGGGTACCCGATACCCGGCTACCCGTACCCGGCTGGGTACGGGTACGGGTACCCGTTTGCGACCCTGGTGCGGCCGGGTACGGGTACGGGTAGGCCGTGAGTCACCGGTGAGTAACCGTTTGTCACTCATTTCGGTAGGGTACGGGTATGGGTAGCGTACGGGTACCCGTACCCGGCTGGGTACGAGTGCGGGTACCCGTTTGCGTCCCTGGTGTGGCCGGGTACGGGTACGGAATCAAAACCCGTTTGCGACCTCTGTGCTGCAGCTACTGCTGCTGCTGCTGTTGCTGCAGCTGGCGGTGCGCCGCACGTGCCTGGCTGTTCGTCGTGGACGCCGGTCCGTTAACGGCGAGGAGCGCGGAGGAGGAGGAGGAGGAGGAGGCGGACGACGATTCTCCGTTGCCGTGGGCCGCGTGTCTCAGCAGCAGCTCGCGGGGCACCGACGTGGCGGCGGCGGCGGCCTCCGTGGTCAGCACGGGGCACGACAGCGCGTAGGACCTGGCGAGCCAGGTCGGGGCCGGTTAGCGGGGCACAAGGGTCAGAGGTCAACAAATTACTCAATAGGAGTCTACGTTAGCAATCACCGCCACCTTCTGCGAAAAAAAAAAAACTTGGTAGGACCATTTGCGAAGAAGAGTCATGAGAGGCTCAGTTAAGCTTTCCTTCGCTTAAACAACAATAATATATACAAAAAACCAGGCCTATTGTGGGGTAGCCAGTGAGGACGTTAATATCAGGGTTGGAGCAATGGAGCACATCGTGGTATGCAGCCCGCAGGCAACCTGAGTGCGATTCCCTGCCCCGACTGACATCGCCGGAGGGTGGCAAGTAATATCATGGGGCCTCTCCCTTCAACAACCCACGCTGACCAGGCGGGTGAAGTATGGCCAATCAACTCCCCGTAGACTGACAACGGCAAAGCGGGAAAGGCCTTCATTCAACTCGAGATGGTCAAAGAGGTTGGGACACAATGCGCAGTCTCAAAATGTGGTGGTGCAAAGGCAGTACAGAAACGTGCACGTCCGGACAACGCGCGTGGTTCAGCGCCATGAGAGAGTGTACGCAACCAACTCGAAGGGCAGACGAGGGGGGTTATCTTCGGGCACAGCTTTTCGCAATCGGCTAAATAATAATCTAGACAGACCCTTTGACGAGCCCAGCCATGGGCTAGGAATTTAAAGGTGCAGTGCGTGCGTGCTAAACCACTGCGCTCCCTGCCCCGCCCGCACCCGCCCCCCAGCAGCTACAAAAAATACCATCAAAATATCGTATTACCTGCATTTCCTGTTATGTTTTTATTACATTCCTTGTTTATTTCGGTAGCTGCGGGGGATGCGATAGTTTTAGCATGCACCCCCCCCCTTCTCCACCCCCCTTCTTCACCACCCCACCCACCACCCCCCCCGCCCACGCCCCCCCCCCTTTCTTCAGCACCCCGCGCGCTGTGACTGGCGTGGTGAAGTACGGCTACACAACCCCTCAGGGCCCACGTGACATTGAGAGGACAATGATTCATCATCCAGCAGAGGATTTGGCAAAGGGCTTGAAACTAAAGCTAAGGAGAAAAAAAACAATCACTGGGTTGACATGTTTGATTGCTGTGTACCTGTTTAACCGGCGGATTAAAAGAACTGTAGTTTGCTGTAAGTTTCCCCGAGTCACAACATGCCCATGTGTAGGATTCTTAAGAGTCATTGGATTATTTAAGAAAAATTATTTTAAAAGGTCAGTGGATTCTTAAGGCTTCTATAGCCAAAACTAAAGCAATCTATTGAAAGATCCTAAGCGCAGCAGCAGAAACGTCCCAAGCCACTCTGCCCGTCTCCCTTGTTCAAAAAATTAAATTAACCCAACTCCGGATTATAAACTTGCACACGTAGACGTGCAGAAATCGATCGCACGTTGATTTCTGTAGCGCAGTGAAAATAGTATGATGGAAGTTTCAAGACGTTTTTTTATAACAAACTCGACGCATTTATATAAGCTCCATCGTTGCAACATAGACATACAAACGCACGCAGGCAAACACATCGGATACCTGTCTGTGCCTTCGCGCTGTGCAGGATTGTGCGTGTGTGGTGAGCAGACGTGGGGAGCGGTAGTGTCGTGCTTGGCACGCTGCGCTTCGAACCAGGTGACTCGAGTTCGATTTCTGCTCACGGCCAACACCGGTGACGATTATCTGAACCGGTCCTGCGCCTCCCCTAGGTCGACTCAGCCTCACATGAGTACCTGGTGCGGTGTGTAAACATCGCCGCTGGGGAGTCAAATGCGGCCGGGCGTGGTGTTGGCCACCCACCCTCTTCATGTGCCGTATCTGCCGTCATAGGTGCTACTCGCTAACAGCACTTGCCCCAACAATCTGTTAAGGCTATACAGGGGATCGTTATCTTTTTTTCATGAGCAGACGTGAAACAATCGGACTCCCCCGCGAGTTGATGCTCCGAAACGGACGCTTGACATCAACCACAGCCATGTTTGCAACTTTAATTTAGCAACCATTAATCCAGCAAGTTGCGACTCAATCCTACGTCTCTACGATGTTTTGCTACAGTCAATTGTCTTGTGTCTATAAATTGTCGTGATTCAGACTTTAAATTCGTTTAAGAAATCGATTATCGTTATCGAGCACCCTCGCGAAATTCCACGCTTTTCCCCGGTGGTTGCGGGGGTCAGCCACGGCCGAGCCACTGCCGGATGAAGGCCTCCCAAGGCAACGCCGCCACCGCCACTGCTCGCAGACCCTTGGTCGCAGGGGCCACGTGAACCAGTCGTACACCACAAATGCGAATCCCACATCATTTGGTCTTCTACTTGCAATCCGGTGAGCCTGGGAATCGATTTTAGTCGATTAATCGATGCATCGCCACACACCTGATGGTAACCACAGTTGCATTAATCTGAAATTACAGTTTCCGCAACGCAAGGTTCTCTTGTCTCTTGAGCACTGTGGTCAAACTAGTTGTGGTCAAACTGGAAAGCCTCAAAAGAGCCAAAGAATCTGCAGGTGGGGGTCTAAGAGACAGCGGGGGGGGGGGGGGGGGGGGGGAAATGTGTTCATCACCCAGCACGTTGGCCAAGATCCCACGAACTACTGACAAACAACTCTGTGTTCCCCACGACCACGTGATGGCGGGCTGGCCCGTATCGTGCAATGGGCAAGTGAGGCCTGGTCCCTTCAGATTGCCACTGCAGCCTCTACCTGGCCAAAAACAAACGGTAATCAGAGGGGGGGTGGGGGGAGGGGGGGAGCCTCGGTCCACCTAGGCTAGGCCGCACGACACACTTTGTCAAGCGGGCGACCTGCTCTTAGCCAGGTCACTCAGTGGGCAGACGTGAAACAATCGGACTCCCCCTTCAGATTGCCACTGCAGCCTCTACCTGGCCAAAAACAAACGGTAATCAGAGGGGGGGTGGGGGGAGGGAGGGAGCCTCGGTCCACTTAGGCTAGGCCGCACGACACACTTTGTCAAGCGGGCGACCTGCTCTTAGCCAGGTCACTCAGTGGGCCCACTTTTATTGTCATTGTGCAAATGTAGCATGGGATTTGTTGTTTGTTCTTCCCATTGCAGTGCAGGGCTTGTAGAGGACTTGTGAATGTTTTTGTAACATTTGCAAATTAGTCGTCTGTGAGCCCTTTATGCAAAATGTGAGTGTGCGGAACACATCGACTGCGTATTGACGATTTGCATATGTCCAGCAGCACGAAAGATGTTTGGTTTGCGCAGCTTTGTGTCAAAGGCAATAGCCATATTTTCACTCGTACATACAGTATGAGCAGACCAAATGATGCAATAGCCCACACTGAAAGCCAGTCTGTGGATAATTCGAGTTTGATGTCAACGAATCTTCGACAGCCTCTTCAAGGCATGGGATTGTTCAGGGTACCACATTCATGCCCCAGAAGCCCAAATGTCCAGACGAAGGCATCTTCAGCATATTTAAGATTTTAGCAATTATCCCTGCGGCGCACAAAAAGAGCCAAATGACAAGGGTGGTGGCTGCCCAGTCATTAACGCGCCACAGCTGTTTGTGAAAATACACGCGACGCCACGACTAACAAAGACAACGAGCAAGCGTGCTTTACGTGTGCATGTGTCACTGCAAACACATTACGTGAAGCACATTGTAGATGCCACTTGAAAATCAAACGTAGCCCTAACACGGCCACAAGGTTATACGAGTTCACATGCCGGAACTAAGGCGCGTTTTGATGGCTAAACACTGTTGCTGTGTTCCCACGGCAGCACGTAAGAGCCCGGAACTTTCCGGCAACCTTGCCAAGAGTGCCACCAGCTTTTACCCAGACTCCCCCCCTCAGACCAAATTCACGACTTCATGGGGGTCAAGAGCATTTGGCTGCTGCTGTACATTTTCCGCACGATAAGCCACTCACTTCGTCGAGCTATCATCCGTGGCCAGGTCGCTTCTGAGAACAAGAACTCTGTAGCTCAGCGAGCCTTACCTGGTAAAAAAAAAAAAACCAAAAAGTGTATCGTTTAGTTTTAGAACCTATTCGTAGCGGAACGTGCGAGTCTTGGCGGCGGCGGCGGGGTGCCATTGAGAATGAACGCAGGACGAGGAGAACGGCTCTCTCCGTATCGAGGGGGGAGTGAAGGCGACGATTTTTTGCGCAGCGCTCTCGAAGCGCTCCAACGCTGTCCCGTCGCGGCGCTCTCGCTCACCTGTGCAGCACCCAGGTGTCCGACTCGTCCGCTTTCTGCGTGTAGTTTTCCGGCAGCAGCCCGGCCAGGCCCGATATCCACGACGTCCCCTGCACCCAGCCCTCGCTGCCGCCCTGCGAACACGGAGCCAACGCGAGGCGCCGTCAGCCCTCCCTTTACCGAACTGCATCGGAATCATCAGAATCCGATGAGCTATGAAGCTTGTTTTTTTTAACAAGATGTTCAGTACGGGCAGGGCAGCAAGTAACAACAGCAAACGGTACAAAAACACGACAGGAAGTGAAAAATAGAGAAGCTGGCAAGCAAGTGACCGAGTAAAAATAAATTCGTTGTTTAAGTCCTGGCGAGGCAACAAAAACAACAACAAACAAAAACAGCCCCAGACCGCACCAAGTTCGGCCGGTTAGCTCACACTCGGGAGGGCTAATGCCATGCCAAAAGCATTGGGCTGGTTATGGAAAGATATTGCGCTCGGATTCTGGATGGCCAACTATAATTTAACTGCATCCTCAAAGTATCGTGAGGGTTCATTCTCAAATCGGGTCACAAAAAAAAAACGCACGCGAATTTGTGCGGTCATATTCAATTAGTTTGGTTTTTCACACTTTAATTATTGCAGGTGTGAAAAAGAACAGTTTTGATTTTACTGGTACATAATGAACACCCCTAGCACGTCACATAGACGGTGTGCCCTTTGTGTCAAAGCGGCCTTTTGTAGGGATTTAAGGAACAGCTGTGACAACAACTTTTAAGGCCTCCCCTTGCCATGCCATTCATGGGGATTGTTTGACTATTATTCACCACGCTGGCCAGCGTGGGTAGGGTAAAGAGAGGCCTGGGACCGGTTTCGGACATCACTTGTTACCGACGTCAGCCTTAGCCGGTGAGCGAACTCGGGTTGTCCGGTTAAGAATGCAGCGCGCTAACCACGACATTACCGCTTCCGCCACATGACAATAGCCGTCCAAAGTTGGTATTAACCGAGTGGCACCTAAAACGGTTGGCTTAACGTGGAGCAGTAGGCCTAATTGTAGATTACGATGACAACGTGCGAGTTGAAATGTATCTGCAATCGACTCTATCCAGTGGCGTTTTGAAAGGGAGGGGGGGGAGTATTGCATCTTATCTCAGGGTGTACCATATGCAGGCTTTTTTTTACATACTCTAACAGTTGCCATTGGTTTTTTTAATCTATACGGTTTGCCTTCACACAATAGAATGAGAGCCTAACAAAATGTAAGCTGTTTGTGCTTCAGTCAGACAGTTGGAAGTTGGTGTGTGAGCCAGCCACACCTAAGGACCGTACACGTTTTCAAAGACAATGATGGTTCACGAGGAAATGGATGCCACATACCGCAAAAGAAAACGAAAATCTAACAAAGGCCATCTGAGATATGAAGTGTGGTCAAACCGCCACCAATAGCAAAACACAGTACAGGAAAGGCGTTCATCCAGCAGTGGATTTACAAAGCGCTGTAAAAAGACGTCAAATAAAAGTAACGCTGGAAGCGTCCCGTTTAAAATCGGCCGTTGTGTCGGGGTCGAGATCGAACCCACGACCGTCTGTATACCAGGCAAGGTAGTTAACATCTCGCCACCGTGTCGCCCAATCAGTCATTGCGATGGGAGAACTTCGCCGTGGCTAGCTGCGTTCTCCTCTTCGGAAAAAAAAACAACCCCCACATAAACCTGGAGCCTTGTCCAGTCATAGTGCAACAGAAGCAATCGCCCCCCCCCCCGATTGTGACTCAAGAGCATTTTCCTGTTAATGGAACCGCCTTGCCGTGGATCTATTTACGTCACCCATAGGTCATCGTCACCAATATCCGAGGTCTGTGGTTTCTGTCACGCAGAAAGCATCCATACTCAGCCCTGCGTTATCATAAACATTCCTGTTGAATGACTGGCACACAACACGCCGTGGCATCAAAGTCGTGTCGCGCATGCATGTGCGTGTGTGCATACGTTCCGTCGCGTTCACCTGTGCACCGTGCTCCGAAGGCGACACGAATATGGAATCTCCTGGTATGAGCTCCAGCTCGTCGTCATTCTGAGGAATGTACGGGTAAAGCACCCGCAGGGTCTGCGGCGGAGGAAGCGTTGGCAAGGCGACGGGAGAGGGGTTCCAACGTCGCAGGGGGTCATCGAAGATGGAAGGGTTAGGGAGGTATAAGGGGAAAAATAGGTCAGGGGTTCACAGGGAGAGGGCGCGGATACACGTTTGCATCAATGCACCGTATTGACGACGATCTTCAGTGAGATCAAGTGGGGTTCACAAACAGACGTCTCCTCGTAAAGGACCCGACAAGGACGCACAACTTCCGCGAAAGCTTCGAGGGCCCACAACCCCTAAATCGCATCCCCACACACACATACGGTGGCAGCTGATGCGGGTACTTGACGATGATGAGATGATGATGCACAGATGGAAAATTAAAACGTCTCTGGTGTGCGAGGATGTGCGGGAGCAGGACAATAAACTAAACACAAAAAGCAGTTACAAAGACATTCGTTTTCAATCTCGATTTGAAAGTGCATAGCTCCCAGTGGGTTCCTAATATCAGATGGAAGAGCGTTCCAGACGGCCGCAGAAGCCCACCTGAACGCGTGCGCGATGTGGTGACCATCTTTGTTCGATGATTAGCCAAAAGCCGCTGCGAGGACGACCGGAGTTCGCGTGATCGTTCATGCTCCTTGAGAAAGTACATATCTGTTGTATGGAACCTGGCGAACTCATGGCCTATGGACACCTCAACCAGTGGTGATTAAATTGTATGTCGTTATTACAGCTTTCATGTTTAATTGTAAATATTTAATCAACTGATATTAAGCTATATTCTTGGGTCTTTCGGTAAAGTCACGTACATAGTATATTCTTTGGGTCTTTCGGTAAAGCCACGTAGATATAAAAAATAATAAAAATAATCACAATATCACTGACGTTTCGATTGCAACACAAGCAATCGTCATCAGGTGAGAGCTGCTGAAGCAGGAAAAAATAGGTTCAAAGAAAATAACAAAAATTAGGTGTCAATCTAAATCTAAAAGCAGTGTTACGTAACTATTTATTTGAATTGTAACGATTGTTATAACAATTTAGGATCTTTTATTTTCGCTACGTTTCGCAGTCAGCGGTTTTAGTAGGGGGCGCAATTTAATTCGCAGCGTCCTTTCTTTTTTCAAACGTAGAAAATTTTAGACCGTGACTCCCCGGCGGCACACCAATGATGTCACAGGATCCTTAAAAATTCACCGTGCAGCAGACGGCGTGTGGCATGCCTACAGTTTACACACCCGCAGAAACAACTGCTGGGTTATCACCATAAACCTCTGTCATGAGCCAGCAGATGCACAACCAACCGGCCACGTCACTGCCCCGTGGTTCTTGTCAAGGGGGCAGAGGTCGCAAACGGGTTTTGATTCCTTACCCGTACCCGGCCGCACCAGGGTCGCAAATGGGTACCCGTACCCGTACCCGGCTGGGTACGGGTACCCGTATCAAACGGTTACTCACCAGTGACTCACAGCCTACCCGTACCCGGCCGCACCAGGGTCGCAAACGGCTACCCGTACGCGGGTAGCCGGGTATCGGGTAGGGTACGGGTATCGGGTACCCGGTTGCGACCTCTGCAAGGCGGTAAGGAACATTGACGGTTGATACGTCTGGTAAGGGAGCTACACAACGCAAATCATTTGGAGCCACTGGCCCTAGACCAACTCTGTACAAACGAGCAATTGTGTCCGAATGAACGATGGAAAGATGTATTATAATGTAACGAAACTATAACTAGTTTTTTTTATTTTACCAGGTAAAGCCCATTGAGCTGTATAGCGTGTTTTTAAGAAGCGACCAGGCCACAAACGATAGCTCAACGAAGTGGCTTATCATGTGGAAATTTATAGCAGCCAAATACTTGGAATGCATATTTCCAAATATTGAGGGAAAAACCGAAGGACCCGGAGAAAAATCCACGCAACCATTGGGAGAGAGACATGCCAACTCCAAATATATAGGGCGACAGGGTCGGGATCGAACCCATGACCTCCTGTATACCAGGTATGCTGCCCTTCTGCAGTCCATAAATGTCGTGTGGTTTTGCAAAACCCCAAGCTGATCAATTTTACATTTAATAATAATGAACTTAAAACAAATCTCATAACATATGCCATGGAACTTCTTCTTTTTTCCGCGGAAACAAAATCATTATACAAGCGTGGCAATATTAAAGCATTCCTTCAGTATGTTTGCGAATGGATGTGACGCAATTACGTCTGGCGGCTCGTTGCCGTGAGTCAGCACCACATTTGAAGGTAATTGACGCATAAAAGGGATGGGATTATCTAGGGCGGCGCTTCTCAACCTTTATTGCAGCCACGCAGAATGGTAATACATCAAGTTCAAGTTCATGTATTAGGTACAGCCCTGTGAGCCATTCGGCTCTTGAATCGGGTGCAACCGCAACAAACAAAAACATGAACAAGAAAACATCTTAAAGTGACTACGTGACTGAGTGCAAACAGAAAATCCAAGAAAAGACAGCAAAATATTGCAGAAAAAACACCGTACACCAACGCTGTGTGCAAAAATCCCAGTGGGATGGAAGTCAAACAACAACAACCACAAGACAACTTAGATTAATTCTAGATTTGAAGCTTTCGTGACTGCAAGGATTCATACTCTTAGGCTTTTTCGGTAAAGTCACGTAGGTAAAAAATACAATTAATAGAAGCAATAATAGAAATAAAATAATAAAAATCACGACGTTTCGGAGGCAACACGAGTCTCCGTCATCAGGTGGGACCGTCACAGCTAAAATGACTGCATCAAGTGAGGAAAACTTAGATTAAGGCCATCAGTCTTACTCCGTACTACAACAAACAAACATGGCCAAACCAGTAAACTTTTCGAAATCACCAAAATAAAGCCATGAAAGCAATAAAACAGTGCGTGATGCACCCCAGGTGAAGAACCACTGCTCTGCGGCCTCTGCCCCCTCTCCCAGCAGTGGATCACTGCCCTGTGGGACTTTAATCCTATAAGCACATTATCGCGAGTTGTTTTATTTTTAGTGTTTTGTTTCATGCTTCCCCACCCCCATTCCCCTTCGCATCCCCCCCCCCTTTCCCCCCCACCCCTCTCTCCCCACCCGCGTGGATTTTTCTCCGGGTTCTCCGGTTTTTCCCTCCACATTTAGAATCGAGATCATGCGTTTAGAGTATTTGGCTACTGCTATGAATTTCCACAGGATGATGATGATGAGCCACTTTGTTGAGCTATCACTTGTGATGGACAGGCCATTTCTGACAAAGAGCCCCGTGGCTCAGAGGGCCTTACCTGGAAAAATTAAAATAAACAGTTTAAGTTTAGTTCTTTCCCAGCCCCCTCTCTACCCCCCCCGCCCCCCCCATGTTAGTTATCTTTGCCCTCATCACCCCCCTTCCCCACGACTTTGTTTTATGTTCCCGCTCGCGGTCCCCATTTGGGTGGGGCGGCGAACCCGAATTTCATCCCCCCACGTGAGGGCCCTGGCGCGGATGACTTCTAGGGGGTTTTCGCTGGCGGAGTTTCTGTCCCCGCACCCCCGCACCCTCACGCCCCTTACCCCCCTTGAACTGTGACCGGTTGCTTTGTACCGGGCTAGCGTTGAGTCACGATACAACAAAATCTACGTAAGAAAAGGTGAATTGATGCATGAGGAATGTCAGGCCGCATATTTACCGAGGCGGTGATGCAATCCGACCAACCGGAAATTGGCCGTGTGATTGCTAATACATCCGTTATTCAGAAGCAGCATGAAACGTTCTAAAATGTACACACTCCGCCGTGTGTCCAATATTCAAGGGTTTCAATATACATGTCCCAGTCTTTTCCATTCGGATTCACTTGTGTTTGTTTATATACCTCATGACTGTTGATACTCACATACTAGAGGCGTGGGTGTTTGGAAATCCTGCGTTTTACCACTGATGGACAATTAGCATAGTTTACTTATTCCACTTCATTGAGCTATCATTTTGTGGCAAGGTCCCTTCTGAAAAAGAAGCTAACAGCTCAAGTGTGCTTGACCTGTCGGTAAAAAAAATAGTTCATCTTCTTGGTTCTTTCGGTAAAGTCACGTAGAAGGGAAGAGTCTGACGGACTCTGTCGCCTCGACGGACCTGGTTTTCACCTGAGGACGGCTGCTTGCGTTGTGGCCGAAACGTCGTGAGAATAATTTTATTATGTTTTATTTTTCTTATTTTATTACTTCCCTTCTACGTGACTTTACCGAAAGAATCAAGAAGATGAATCCCTGCAGTCACGAAAGCTTTAAATAAAAAAATAGTTTAGTTTCATAAGCAGATTTTTAAAAGTGATTTCGTTTACCTTTCCTATACTTTGCACTCCTTTCGTGTCTTTGAACTGTTTGTTGTTGTAACGTTCTGACCCACCCCTACTGGACAAAGAGCTTTACAGCTCATCGGATTCCTCCAGTTTAAAGACATTCTGATTCTGAACTCGAGAAGAATCTTGAGACTCAGCGAGGCGTTCCTCGGTAAACAAGAGCAATCATCGTAAAAACATACATTTACGAGCCAAAATAAAACGCAGAACGCTGCATCTATCCAGGTCAGAGATACATCAAGAGACTCGAGTTATGCTATTGCATAACTCAACACCTTTTCACTGCCTGCATTACTTGTCTATTGTTATAGGCCAGAGGGTAAATAGTTGGAGGAAGAATTCACGAATTGTTCAAAATGACAGCGAGCACATTGACACACGCTGCATGCTCACGGGAGTTGCGAGCGTTTCGTTTCTGTTGTTTGAAGTGTAATTAATTTGGTAAAGTCACGCAGGTAGAAATAAAACAAGATAAATCACGACGTTTCGAACGCAACACAAGCACCCGTCGTCAGGTGAAAGTCGCGATGGCCACGATGTCTGCTGCGAGCAGTATGATGTCTGCAGTCGAAACGTCGTCATTTATTTCTACCTACGTGACTTTACCGAAAGAACCAAAGAGCGTGGATTACTGCAGTCACGAAAGCTTCAAATCAAGATGGAATTCATTTGTTTTGAAAAGTACAAAAAAAGTTTCC